ACACAACACATAAAACATAAAAAAAATCTTTTTGGAAAGTAACTTGGACCCAGGTATCTCTCTCTTCATGGACTTCAATTATATTCATGCTCATCTTACATATCATTACTTATTTTATTTACCATTCTAAGCCTTCTATATTAACTTCTCCACATATTTCACTCTTCTTAATTCTATCTTAATTAATCATCTTAATTTGAGTCATTATATTTGTATCTTTTGTCCATTCATTATTGTCCCTTTGTCTCGTTCCTTATAAAAAAAAAGAAGTTTCTCCTGAAATCACTAATCAGAGTATGATGCCTTTCTATCTCCCCCCTAAATTAATCAAATTAACCTTTAAAATAACGCCCAATACCCAATCCGATTTTGCTTGGTACATTCTATCTAAATAGTACACCCAGAGTAATTAAATACATAGTTAAACAATAGATCTAAATATTAAAAACAAATACTATAATAGAAATTTTATAATAACATCAATACCATAATCTTATTAAACTCTTTAATTAAAACTCAATATTCTAAACCTCCCCTCATATTATTAAATTTTAAAACCAATCATTATTAAACATTTCAACATTTTAATCTCTTATCAACTCTTAAACCATTTAAGTTTTCTATTTCTAATACAATACTACAATATCATCTTATGTACCTTGCAAAATCTTTTTGAAGAAATTATACTTTATCCTTTATCCCTAAAAAAGATTCCTTTTTTCCCATTTAATTTCAAAACTTTGTAGCTTTTCTCCACCTTTTCCCTTTCTTTCTTCTCCCAACAAACCTTTCTACCCCCCCCCCCCCTTCTTCTAGCCTCTGCCTTACTGGCTTCCCTTCTCTGTCGTGTTCCTTTTCCCTTTTGTTTACTATCATTATATTGATTTTGCACCTTATTTTTCCCTTAAGTGTTTTTTTAAATCTTAAGTCCTTTATTTCTCTTCCTTTCCCTCTTCCTTCTTTCTTGGTCGAATTCTGAAATTTATTAAAAATGGCTTCCTCTCCTTCTTCTTCTTCTGCTGTCTTCATCTGTTGTAATGTTTGTTGATAGTTAATAAGCGCCATTTCTAAAAAAAGGAAGGCTTCTTTCAAACCAGCTTTACCATTTTTTTTTTTGCTTGTTCATAATCTTTTCTCAGTTCCTCAATAGAAAGAGCCATTATAAATCTTTTCTTTTCCCCTTCTTTCTTCTTACAACAACCAGAATATTCCAAAGAAAAAATAAAACAATCCCAAAGTTATCAATCAGTCCAAACCAAGGCAGAGTTCTCACTTTCTCCTCCTGGGGTAGTATCAATCAGAGAAAAAGAAAGTCCAAATCTGTTTCTTAAAATCTTATTGCAATATATTTTAGTCTTCAAATCCTTAAGGCATCTCCTCCAACAAAGTCTTAGCATACAAATATTTTTTTTTAGTCCTCTCTCTTCCCACTCATCGCTTAAAGCCAGTTTTCACCTAAAAGAAATAGGTTTCTTAATATCCACTTATTTATTCCGTAGGAAAAGAGGGTAAGCTTTCCTTTCAGCACCACCAAACTGCCGCTTTTTTCCTCTTCTAGAAGGTATCATTCAGAAAATCATACTTTTCAGGAATTTTGTTAAATATGTCTTAGAGTCCTAGGAACCAAGAAAAACTTTCTCCTTTCAAAAACTTTCTCCACTTCCTCCTGCGCATTCTTACCCGGCTGCCAGCTTCTTTGTGGCGGCCATTACGGACCGCCGCTGCACCGTCCTGGGAAAAGGGGGTTCTGCTGGCCGGGGAGGGGGTCTGCAACACCCCCAAACCCCTCTCCGGATCCCCCCTACCTTCAGCTGCCCCTGCAGGGCAGCCTAGCTCCGTACCCGTCCGGATCGGAGCCCCAAAAAACGGCTAGCGCAGCAGGGATCGCACAGCTTCGCGAATCCCTGCCGCTCGCGAAGCCGACAAACCGGAAGTCCCCAAATTGTCACCATTTTGAGGCCCCTCCTAGGTCATACAGAAAAATAATTCTATCAAGACTGATGAAGAAGCAAAGCATCTATTACAAATCTTCAGTATATCAAAAAGTGGCACATCACTTGCAATATTTTCACAATCAAAGCCTCCATAGCATAGTATGTGCACTATGTTCATTGTACATAGTACATAATTCAGAATTAAAGTTGATTTCTACATGAAAGTATAGTCTGTGCAATTTGAATACTACTTAATATTTTTCCTATTTTCTCAAACTTGCTTACAAATGTAGGAAATATAATTCATTCTTTGATTTAACAACTACAGTTATATTTTATAAATAATGACCCTTTTTAGTGTTTCTTTGTATCTGTGCAGGAGAAAGTATAAATGTATCCTACCTTTCTCCCATTATTATATTTGATAAAAGAATAAGAAAGGATAACAATTTAAGAGAATGAATGTGTTCGGTTTGACAGGATTATGTGAAGTGTGATATTGCCTAGAAATGTAGAATATGTTTCAACTTCAAAATACCCATTTTGATGTTTTGAGCTCACTAAATAATAAATTATTTCACCTATTTAATTTAACTATATATTGTCAGTGGCCTATAAAAATAATATTTATTGTTAATACTTACTTCAACATACATAAACATTCTGTGTATGCTTGTTCTCATGCACATTCTCAGTCAATTTTAAGTTTCCCAGATGGACAGTGAAGAAAAATTGAAAGTTTTATTTTTTATTCTCCATGCACGCACAATCAGCATAAGAAATGAGCAAAAGTTTCCCCTTTATTTTTGTATGCAGCCTTGGCAGTAGTTAATCCCATATATGAGAGACATGTAGATGTACCTATGCAGAATTTTATAGCTGTCAGAGGAGATGGAAATGGCTGCCTCGTTTTAAGCACATATTTCATCTTCCTCTAAAAGTAGAATAAAATTTATTTATTCTGAGTACATAAACATTACAAATTAAATGTTAAATTGTAATTCTATGATGTAGCATGTCAGATGTTTATATGCTTAGTTACTGGAATATGGTACTTCTGAAAAACATTGAAGATAAATAGTCATATATATGCCATTGAAATTTTTGTCTTTTTCAACATATTCAACATTCAGAAATTTGATCTTCATTTTGACAAGATAAAAGAGGATATGATACAACAAATATGCACCATTCACATTTTGTAATCTATTATGTAATCTAAATAAACATAAATGAATATTCGCACATAGAAGAAATAAGTACATAATCTCAAATATCTCAAATTAGAATCAGGTGCATCAGATCAGGTTCATGGTTAGGAGAGGAACCTGTCTTACTTAAACCTCAGCATTTAGTTCGATTTGCTGCTTGTTGCTGAAGTGTGTGATATCATTATGTCTATATTAAAAGGGCTCTTTGAGGCTTTGGAAATAAGGTTATAGATTCCAAACCTGGAAATAGATTTTTAAAAATTGCAAAACAATTGAACAGCAATCATTCCACTGTCCAGAGGATCATTTGCAAGTAAAGAAGTTCTTAAACAGTTGCTAACTTGCCCAGGCCAGGCTGTCCCAGAAAGTTCAAACCAAGTTCAGAACACAAAATACTATAAAAAGTCTCTAAGAAGTCCAGAATTTCATCACATGGTAGCTTGTGCCACTATTTAAATCAACAGTGCATGAACCTCTCTCATCAGCAAGAAGCTGCACAAACTAGAACATGTTACAGTGCCAGAAGGAAATCTTTGTTGTCCAGAAAGAACATCAGGGCAAAAGTAAGTCTTGCTCATGAACGCCTAAACAATGTGCTTTGGACATGCATAATTTGTCAATAGTCCCAGAAGACTTGTTTGATGAAAATCAAGTCAGCATTTTACCAAAAGAATCTGATACCATATGATTTCAGGCTGCTTTGCTGTATCATCCTGGGCAGCTCACCACTATAGATTTCACTAGGAATACTTCATTATACCAAAAGATGCTTGATATTACTGCAGTGTTCTTGGTCAATCCAAAATATTAATAAATCTCAAACCTGAATAATTAAGAAAGTAAAAGTCAGGTTTTGACTCTCTTAGGAGAATATCAATGTGTGCACAATTATTGGGCAACTATTAGTGTGCGGTATTATGCAACTAAATGAAAAATGAAAATTTGCCCATCTCACTATTTCCATCTGTTAAAGTGAGAATAATAAACAAACAACTCAAAATAAACTACTAATAAACATTCCTGATATTTCAAAAAAAAATCAGTGACCAATATACCCTTCTTTTCAATAACATACATATATAGGTTAATTTATATATAACATACATATATAGGTTAACAATATTCCTAATATTGTTTCTACAGTCTTATGTTTCTACATATAAAATTTATCTAGACTATTTACTGTACCTGACTGAAAGCAAAAACTATTCTAAAATTAAATCTTAAGAACTAACAAAAGTGTGTGTGTGTGTGTGCGTGTGTGTGTGTTCATAGAAATATAGAGAGAAATAGCATATCATCTGGGTTTTTTTGGAAGTACAGTTTTCGTAAAATTTGAAGAAAACTCTTGTCTGACTGAGAAAGAAGATGTACTATAACAAAAATGCTTGTTCATCTGCATGGTTAAACACAAAAATAGAAATAACTTTCTCCTAAACTGTAATAGAACAAACATTACCTTAAAATCTTTGTTGAGCCTGAACTAAAGCACATCTGGGTGGAATGAGTGAAGTTATCAATTTAGAAGAAAGATTCGAATAACACATTTGATGTGGCATTCACACAAACTGGAGAAGAACTTCAACTGGAATAAGTACCTAAAGTATAATTGGTATTGTGTAAGAGTTTATATATTTGAAATTTGCACAAACTTCTAGATTCTAATAGCTTTAAAAGTTGGAAATTGAAAGGGAGTCCCATTTCACCTTCATGGTGGTATTTGGCTATGGAAAGAATGAATAAACTTCTAATCCACATGTGAATTGATCAAACACACACACACACACACACACACACACACACACATAGAGGGAGAATCTGTTTCCAACATATACTCTGTTTAATTCTGTTCCAGGTAAATAATTGAATGTATCGAAGAATTCCAGGTGGTATGATCTGACGTGCATATAGAAGGAATGAAGCATGGATGTGAAAGAACGCAGACCTTATTGCTCCCTGACAAAGAGCAGAAGAGACAAGGAAAGGCGTTATACAAATTCTTCCACAGAAAATGAAGAATGCAGAGTGCCTACTCAGAAGTCCTACAGTTCAAGTGAAACCTTGAAAGCTTTTGATCATGATTCTTCCAGACTGCTTTATGGAAACCGGGTAAAAGATTTAGTCCCCAGGGAATCTGATGAATATACCAGACAAGGTAGGCAATTAGCATAAACCTCCTTTATGACTGTGTACATTGTCCTCTGTGTGGTCCATCTTCTCATGCCAGTAATATGAATGATTCACCAATTGTATATTATATTGCTACCATATTGGTTTCAAACTTTAATGTGATTATTCATGTTAATACTTATTTATTTACTATCTATGTGCCTTATCAGTGTAAAAAAGCTATTTTGCAAAACATACACACTGTTGTTTCTAAGTTATGATACACGTATACAGTTACCTGATCTCCAAAAACCACCTGGAAAGGGATTTGATAGCTGACAAGTTAATTGAAAAAGTTTTTTGATTTCTATATCAAATAGATTAATATGTTGCATGATATCATACAATATTGTATGATACCATATAAGTGTGTGTGTGTATTTATATCAAGTAGATAAATTACATAATCTATAATTTATGAGATTCAGTGTTCTTATAGACCATAAGCAGGGTTTGCAGACAAACTTTTCATGATCCCTTTATCATGATAGAACTTCTTTGTCTAACTGGATTTCCAAAATTTGAATGTCACATCTTATGACAGACTATTCAGTTAAAGGTAAAGGTTTCCCTAGAGATTTTATCTCATGACCAACTTTTAGGGCAGTCCTCATCTCTATTTCTTAAGCGTTGTCAGGAGACATTTCTGCAGATATGTGGCCAGCATAACAGCACACCACAGCACAGAACACATGGCAAAACACAGACCATTGTTATCTTCCTGCATGTTTAAATGTGCTCTCTATTCAGCTACTCGCATTTGCATGCTTTTGAACTGCTAGGTTGGTAGGAGCTGGGACAAGTGATGGTAGCTCACTCCATCTTGTGGCACTCAGGTCTCAAACTGTTGAACTATAGATCTTTAACAATCTAAGACACAGCATCTTAACTACCGAGCTACCTCATTCAAGATCTGTCACAAATCAGGATGGTTAAGCAGGGGTGGGATTCTACCAGTTCGGACCAGTTCTATAGAATTGGTTGTTATGATTCTGTGCAGTTTGGAAAACCGGCAAATCACACCACTGGCTGGCCCCTCCCCTCCCCACCCACCCCACCCAGGAGGCTTCCCTGAGGCCCAGTCGGGGTGGTATTCAGGGGGTTGGGGGAGGGAGAAGTGGCCTGAGAGCAGACCTGAACCTTCCTTAGGACTGAATCTTCTATTTTTCAGTGCAGACTCAGGCAGCCGATCGCAGAAAGGTAGATCTGGGAGTGAAGCTGTGATTCTGCAAGCAGCTCAATCTGCCTGCCTGCTTTGCCTGATTTTGGGTAAAAGTTGCTCTTTTTTTAAAAATAAAAAATTCAATCTTTACATATATATTTACAATATTTACATACAAGCCACTCCCAGCCACATGACCACCAAGCCACACCCACAAATTAGGCCATGCCCACAGAACCAGTTGTTAAGAAATTTGAATCCCACCCCTGTGGTTAAGCAATGTAAAGTCTCAGGGAGTTCCTATGGTAGAAGGGTTCTTTTTGTAATCTGCAAATGCCAATTGTTTATTTGACTTCCTTGATGGATGGATGGATTGACTGATTATGTGTCATCAAGTTAGTGCTAACTGGATGGATCTTCTCCAAGATGATTTATCCCTAACCTGGCTTCAGATCTTTTTATGGCATACCCATCACTAGTGCCATTCACATTTCTCCTGGTCACTTTAAAGAATATGATAATTTGAACTGTCCTTATACTCTTGTTAGTCTTATTTACATGCCCTTTCTCCTTATATCAAAATTTGATATAATTGGCAGAACAATAACAAATCTAATAGTGCATGTGCACACTAAATGAAGACGTGTGAACAATTTAACTTAGTGTGTGTTCATTGGAAAATCCTTCCATCTTTACCAGAATCCTATACAAAGTTCCATTACTATTTCATAGTCATACTGTCATGGTCATAACTACTTGCCATGGAAATAACAAGATAGATGGGAATGATTATAAATTGTAAATTTATAGTTGAATTCTGTTGCATCCCTTCTGGCCTCTGTTTCCATTCTGATTTCTTTTGAGTTTATTTATTATAATATACTGTCATACTCATCATTCTTAGAAAATAAAGTTGTGGGTAGATGTCTATAGTCTGGCATTTTTTCTATTTTCTCCTGAATTGTGCATCATCACTCAGGGGGAAAAAAGTGAGTTGGAGATAGTACTGAGTATCATAGATGGTGTGTATGTGGAATGAAATATTTTGTTTATCTGATATGTAGGTGTTAATTTATTTTGTGAGTCCTTTACAGATAAGGTTTGTAACTTGGCTAGGAACCCAGAAACCATGAATTCTAGTCCCACCTTAGGTGCAAAACCAGCTGGGTGACCTGGGGCCAGTTTCTGTTGGCCCTGCAATGGCAAACCACTTGCAAAAAAAAAAAAACACCTTGCAAAAGAAAATTGTAGGGACTAGTTCAAGACAGACACTGGAAATCAATGCTTTGAAGACACACAAACGTGTATTAATTTCTTATGTGAGTTCTTTGTTAGTTAAGTTTGCATTATGTGTTTGCTTTATGTAATTTCTTTTCTCCACACTTTATTGTCCTAACTTCAGTAGTTTGCTTTCTGCAAGATGCATACTTCATAATTGTTCATATTCATCATGGAATTTTTTTTTTGAATGGGTAGATGATGTAAGGCATAGCAAGAATTGCCTAAAAGGCACAAATACTCTTAAAACATGAAGTGTGTCATTGAACTAGGAAGGTTGGGAAAGACGAAAATGGTTCTCTGAGCAAGTTCTAGTTCTATTGATATTTTTGATGATTGAATTGCAGATCATGTATAATAAACTATTAGTCCTGTTAACACTTCTCCATAGGGTTTTCTCAGAGATATTAAATTTTGATGATGTAAGATTGAAGTATTGTATGTTTATGCAATATTAAAACAAAGCTTGCCCAGTGTTAACTTGCAAAGTATTCCTATGCTTGATTTCGAACCTTGACACCCAAATTATTGGAATACGTCAGTTAATAAGAGGAAAATATTGACTATCATTCTTCAGTTATAGTTGTCTCATTTTTTTCTCCAAGAAAAGTTGACATACTTTTGGGGCATTTACTGTGGTGCAGGGGTATCAAACTTGTGTCATCACGACGGCGTCATATCTCATATCACAATTCCCCCCCCCTTTGCTAAACTGTGCATTGGCGTGGCCAGCACATGACACATCTGGCCCACAGGCTGCAAGTTTGACAGCCCTGATGTAGTGAATACATTTCTTTATTAGATTTGAGATGCTACTCTGTGAAAATATTCAATTATTTGTATTTAAAAGTGACATATTGATGCACTAGGTAGAACGTACTTTGTTATATCAAATTATCTTCACAAAAGAGGTTCTACGCTATGTGCACAATTATTAGGCAAGTTGTATTTTGGAGGATTAATTTTATTATTGAACAACTACAGTGCTCTCGGTCAATCCAAAATGTTAATATACTTCAAACCTGAATATTTAATAAAGTAAAAGTGAGATCTTGGTTTTCTTAGGAGAATATATATGCACAATAATTGGGCAACTATTAATGTGCATAATTATTATGCAACAAAATGAAAAATGAAAATTTGCCCATCTCACTCATTTATTTGCATCTGTTAAAGTGAGAATAACAACAAACAACTCAAAATGTACAAATAAACAATTCTGACATTTCAAAAAATAATAATATTCAGCTACTTTTCTTTTCAATAACAGTCATAAGCCTTCCATTCATGGAGTCTGTTAGTTTCTTGATCTGTTGATGATCAGCTTTTTGTGCAGAAGCAACCACAGCTTCCCAGGCACTGCTGTTCTGAATGATGTACTGTTTTTCTTCACTGTAAATCTCCCATTTAAGAAGGGCCCATAAATTCACAATAGGGTTTAGATCAGATGAGGAAGGGGGCCTTGTCGTTATTCTTAATCCTAATCCTAACTCTGGTTTCTCATCAGATTATATAAATCTTTTATCTTTAAGGCCTTTATTGGCTAGGTACTCAGTGGAGTACTTCAATGCATGGGTTGGAGCACCATCTTGCATAAACAACATGGTCTTCTTGAAAGAGGCAGACTTTTTCTTGTACCACTGATTGAAGAAAGTGTCTTCTAAAAACTGACAGTAGGCTTGGGAGTTGATTTTGAGTCCATCTTCAACCCGAAAAGGTCCAACTAGCTCATTCTTAATAATACCAACCCATACCAATACCCCATCTCCACCTTTTTTGAGAGACACAGAGTCGAAGTGGAGCTCTGTGCCCGTTACTGATCCAGCCATGGGCCCATCCATCTGGTCCATGAAGAGTCACTCTTATCTCATCAATTCATAAAACCTTAGAAAAATCTGTCTTCAGATATTTCTTAGCTCAGTCTTTCCATTTCAACTTATGTGTCTTGTTTTTGCGAAACTGTTGACTATTTACAACAAAATGTTTGATGTGATCGCACCCCAATATCTTAGCAATTTCAAGAGTGCAGCATCCTTCTTGAAGATTTTTACAATTTTTGACTTTTCAATCAGTTAAATCTCTTTTTGGCCCATTTTGCCTGAAGAAAAGAAGCTGCCTAATAATTATGCACACCTTGATGTAGGCAATGTGTTAATATCCTTAGGCCACATCCTCCCTCATTAAACAAATACACATCACATGATATGCTTATAACCACTAAGCATTCAAGTTTATACAGCTTAGAGGTGGAAAATATGCATAAAATGATGATACGGTCAAAATATTCACTTGCCTAATAATTGTGCACACAGTATATTTCTTTAACACTCAGAAAGTATATGTACTGTAGATTTTTGAAATGCCAGTTTTTGATACATTTTCAATTACAACATATGGTCTGTCTGGTTTACTGATTGACATGATTTATTTAATAGTGATTAAAAGTGTTTGAACTGGCTTATTGGCAGATCTAATTAATTTACACTTGTTCACAATATTTCATTAAGAACTAAAAAGAATTTGTTCCTAATAGTTTAGTGTTTAGG